TCTCCGACTCAGTTGCTGCAATTTAAGCCCATTACTTCTTGTCCTGTCCTCAGAGGTTAATGAGAACAATTTTTCTCCCTCCTCCTTATAACAACGTTTTATGTACTTGAAAACTGTTATGTCTCCCCTTGATCATCTCTTCTTCAGACTAAACAAACCCAATTTTTTCAATTTTTCATCCTAGGTCATGTTTTCTAGACCTTTAATCATTTTTGTTGCTCTTCTCTGGACTTTCTCTAATTTGTCCACATATTTTCTGAAATGTGGTGCCTAGAACTGGACACAATACTCCAGTTGAGGCCTAATCAGTGCAGAGTAGAGCAGAAGAATTATTTCTTGTGTCTTGCTTACAACACTCCTACTAATACATCCCAGAGTGATGTCTGCATTTTTTTTTGCGACAGTGTTACACTGACTCATATTTAGCTTGTGATCCACTATGACCCCCAGTTCCCTTTCGCAGTACTCCTTCCTAGGCAGTCATTTCCCATTTTGTATATGTGCAACTGATTGTTCCTTCCTAAATGGAGTACTTTGCATTTGTCCTTATTCAATTTCATCCTATTAACTTCAGACCATTTCTCCGGTTTGTCCATATCATTTTGAATTTTAATCCTATCCTCCAAAGCACCTGCAACCCCTCCCAGCTTGTTAGCATCCACAAACCTTATAAATGTACTCTCTAGTGCAGGACCCACTCAATATGCCCTTCCAGCTTGACTGTGAACCACTAATAACTACTCTCTGGGAACAGTTTTCCAATCAGTTGTGCACCTACCTTATAGCAGCTCCATCTAGGCTATATTTCTCTAGTTTGTTTATGAGACGGTCATGCGAGACAGTATCAAAAGCCTTACTAAAGTCAAGATATACCACATCTACCACTTCCCCCCATCCACAAGGCTTGTCATTCCATGTTAAAAGGTAAGAGTCCTTCAAAGCCCTGCTTTGTTAATAAGTCCATTCAGGCATCTTATGGAAGTGGAGCCCTGCCTGCATTCTACACTCCCATTCACCTTCTGTATAGAGAGAAGCAGGACCCCTGACAACTCCTGCTTTGTTCCATCAAGAGTCTAGATCAGTGTTTCTCAAGGACTGGTCCATGGACTGGCAGCAGTCCCTGAGATCTCCCTGACACAGTTTAGGAAGGCAGTAGAATTTGGGGAGCTGGGGACAAAAACAGGCAGAATCTGCCAGAATCCAGTTGTCATCCAGAGTCTGGTACCCAGACTCAGTGTCATGGAAATGAAGTTCCCTGGGGGAGGACAAACTCCCTCCTTTCACCCACAAACACACCCATAGTAAATTGAAATGCTGCTTAGGAGTTTGACTGTACAAGCCATGTTCTCATAGTTATTTGGGCCTGTACACACTGTCCCTTGAGCTGGGAGCTCTGCAGGGCTGACTGCTGACAGGTATGTTTCCATATACCTGTTTCAGGCCTGACCATCGCATGGGTGTATGGTGATGTTGTCACATCCCTTCACCTGTGAACCTTCACCTGCCTGCACACACAGACCAGGTCTTCACTCATCGCAGACTCCTTTCCTTGCTACCCCACTGTAGTATGGGCAGTATTTATACTTGTGATGTCCTCCTGCAAGGCAGACAGCTCACTCTGGAGTGATGCAGGTCCCTCAGTTGCTCAGTCCCTGATCTTCACTTGACTTCCATTGCAGAAGAGGTCTGTCAGGCCACTCCCAGTAGTGGAGTGTGTGGGGTCCCTTTGTGCAGACTCAGGGAGGCCAGCTCTCCTTTCTGCCTGCTGGGTTCAGCTGCTGTTTGCTGATGGGTGGTCCCAACCTGAAGTAATGTAAAGAGATTGGATTTTCAGAGAACATTTTCTGAAAATCAGGCCTGTTTAAGGTGTTTTAAGTTGGGTACCCAAAACCCAGGCACACACAATCACTACTCAAGGCTGGAAATCTTGGCCTTATTTAATTTCTTCTGTTCCAGTAAATCACGCTCTCCCTGCGTCTTTCCTGAGCTGGGAGTTACTCTTCCACATGTTCTCCCCCATTTGTCTGGGTTGCGCTCCCTTCCCTTCCCCCGAATCAATTCCTTTATTCACTGTTATTATTTGTGTTGTAGCACTAGCAGCTCCTGGAGTCCAAGAAATCTCACCTTAAAACTTTCCTTGTTGTGTTCGCTTATGA